CCCTCCCTCCTCCCCCCTACCTCCCTTAGTCATGCATGTCTCATTGAGTTCATGGAATTCCTATTGCATGCATCTAGAAGAGTGGTTCCTAAATTCTCTGAGTCATGGCACCCCTCCACCACTTTTTTTTTAATATGGCAATGTCCCTGGTTGAGAAGCTTTGTTGATGATGCCTCCAATTACCTCAGTACTTCTCAACGGATACTGCTGCCTCCAGGTAAAACTGCTGCATAACCAGCCTAGGAAGGGCTGTGGCATATGGTGCATGTACCTCCTGCATTAGGGTGCTCTGGTAACCCTAATGCAGACAGGAGAGCAGCCTTGGGCTGTAGCCCTCCCTAGTCCATCCCTCCATGGTCTTCCTGGAAACAGGCATGTGGTAGAACAGTCCTATGTGCCTCTCTTCATGAGGCATGTTGTGGGGAGCGAGGGGGTCAGACAGGGAAGGACTCATAACCTGAGAGAGTTCTCATTCTGGGTTAGGGTTATCAGAAAGCTCTCATGCAGCTGAAGTATGTGCATGCTCCATCCCTGCATGCAGGACACTTTTATTTGGCTAATGCTATAGCAGTGGCACCTGCATCATGGCACCCCAGGGTGCTGCAGCACCCCAATTGAGAACCACTGGTCTACAATGTGAGACTTTGGGAGGCACAGATCCACTCTAACAGGCTGCTTCTAGTTCTGACCATGGTGTCCTTTGACTTTTCTCTGCAGGCAGTACTGGAGAAATATTAACGTTCAGATACTATTTCTGTCTAGTTGTCAGTGGAATTTGATATTAAAATTATTGAGATGCATCTTTGCCGGGTGCTAACATACAAAATTGGCACTCCCTTTTTCACTCATACTTTTTTTTATCAGAAATTAGGAGTTCTGTCCTATGCTGAACATGATGCAGCTCTACTGTGGGAGTTACAATGGGAATACTGGTCATCATGCAGGCAAAGCTGAGGAACATCCAGAAGTGATTAAGAACGAGCTTAAATACATTCTAACTTCAAGGTATGAGTAGTCTCTTATATTACTGTATTTACTCAAATATAAGAGGATTCCCCCCCCCCCCACACATTGGCACAGGGTGGGGGTTGGGGGGAGCCCTTTCTCTTATCGCATACAAGGCAATCCCCCTAAATACATTGTCCATCATTAAGCTGCTGCCAAAAGCAGCATGTGTTTAGCAGTGGAAACCAACTATGAAGTTGATTTAAAAGCAGCCAATACTGAAACACATGATGAGAACCTACCACAAGAATAGATTCTGAATAAGATGTATGGTAATGCCCATTAAGTACAGTCCCCCTCACTTCTGACTCTTTCAACTCATAGTGAGCCACAACATTGCATATAGTTTACCCAGATTCTCTTGGTTGCTCCCGTTCTCAGCCTGGCACACAGTGTGGCCTTACCCTCCATGAGGTGAAGCTGAACGCGTTGGCCCTGTGCCTCATCTGCATATACATTTTTGGAGCATCCCTGGACTTGACAAGAACATCCAGTTCCAGTCATGACTGGGGGCTAATTAGCACATGGGTCCCTTCTTGGGTGTATTTGAAGCACATGTGCATACTGAGTAGTACTGAGCTGTGGGATTCATCTTGGTTTGAAATGCTGTTGACTGGTGTGGCTCAGACCAATGAACTATGGTAAATCATGAGTCTTTGGCTCTAGATTAATATCATGCATAGTTTGTAGTGCATATAAGTAGGTGCCAAAGTGCTTTATGCAGTGCCTGTGCTAAAAGTTACAGTATCAAAAAAGGTAATATGCATCAATTCTGGATAAACTAGGTGCATGGATACTATATGTAAATTGCTACAGCCATGTTTAATTTCAAGGTTATTGTTTTCACATTTGCTTCTCCCTTCCATGTGCTCAGGGACAGTAGGGTTTGACAGTAAAGCAAAGGGGGAAGGGGCTGATAGGGGGAAAAATTGGGGGGAAGCAGAGAGCAAAGGGCTACCTGACTACCCAGACTTATTTTCCCCACAGTTGCAGTGGGAGGAAGACAAATTCAAGGCATACCTCCAATAATTAGATTCTATACCTGGAAAATATAACAAGTCTATCATTTTTCTATATATAGAATCTATGTATAGGGGGGTCATCTTATAAATCAGGGTTGTCTTCTATTCAAGTAAATAGGTAAATTAACTCTAGAACTGTTCTTCCCTTTACTTTTCCCTATTTCTTAATGTGCTGCATTAGAACAGTGACTTCATGTCCTCTGCAAAAAGGAAAAGTACATTTATCCATAGTCTCTTAAATATTGACTTGATATAGTATCTAAATTGCTGAGACCTGTCTATGCAGAGCTTCAGAGCTTTTTCTAGTGCTCTAGATGTTTCTACATGTCCAGAAACACAATTGTTGCAGGGGGAAAAAGATAATGGGCAGCTTACTTAGAACTACAGGATACTGGACTTTGAACAAGGTCCCATCTTCTGAGTGTGCATACAAAAAAAAAATTGGTTGCTTTTCTTCAGAGAGCAGGTTTTGCCCTGATATTTTTAGTCCCCCTGTTCCTCCTTTCCTTCTCAAATGTGTTCTGCACCAGTTTATCTGCTAAGCAGCAGCTTGACATCCTGGCTTTCTACATATATAGCAGCCCTACATGCATATTGTTTGGACATGAAAGCTTCTATGAATAACTAAATTTCTGTTAAAGATTTGCAGTAGTGTCACTGACTTTTATATTTCTAGTTACCTATTTCAATTGAATTCTCAACTATTTTCTGATGAACAGATATCTGTTACTGTAAACTCACCGAGTCCTGATCTAAAGATTTCAAGTGACAGAGAATACAAGGTTCCTTGGCACCATGATGATCAATGCTGGGTCCACCTCACTAAACTCAATCAGTTAGTGGTAGCATTGGGGTGGACTTTTCCTTGCGAATCCTACTGTGGGTGTATCCTTATATTCAAATATGTGGGGTTTCATACAGAATTAAGGTCTAAAACTTTGTAGCTGAAATTGGCTTCATTTGCAGCATGATTGTGAGCCTTTACATAGAGAGCTAGTGTAGTGGTACAGGTTGCATGAATGGAGCAAACCAGTCTTGCAAAAGTAATACATAGGTATGGAATGAGAACTGCTTGCTCAGTCCTTATGCTAACAAGTCTTGAATGCCTTAGCTTTTAAATATGCTGAGTAACAATAAAAACCAGAGATGAGCAGCATAAGAGTCATAAGGAATTGATCACTTATCTTCTAGCGGCTACAAGAATTACAATTGCAAAAGG